GATAGGGGGCCGATTATATCGTGCATCCCTATTGATAACACATAAAGACCTTGAAAAATGTAGTAAATTCTGCAACAGCCCATATTTCCAGTATGGTGTGGTGATTATGCCAGGAGATTTTCCACTCTACACCCCCTCCCAAAGAAGGAGATCACCTGCTTGTATTAAAGTATACATATGAAGGAGTAAGAGCGTCGTGTTTGTTTTTAAGGGTTATTTTACAAACCTCTGAGACAAAATGCAGATACACAATAGTTTCAGTAAGGCTTTTTTTGTGCTAAAGGTGACTGAATATTGTGTTCGTTTTGGGTTTCAGGGCATATAGAGCTTTCAAGCCACCAAAATTCTGGTTTGAAGTAAAAATGGCACATTTACATCAGCCTAGTGAATGTTTAGATCATGGCTGTGAGTGATTTTAAATCCAATATCTCAGCACACAGCCACCCACTGAAAAAAATGATTCGTCCTCGTCACGCTGTAGAGAAATAACACCTTTGAGCATGAATAACTAGCTCTGACATTTCAATTAGATCTGTAGTTTCAGCAATCCTCTGTTTATTCTGACAAGACAGCACTAACTTGTATATGCTTATATCTGACCACGGATCTACAGTTTTCTAAAGTCAAAGACAGTCTCTAATCTGAAATTTCCCGTTTTTATTCTGACACACTGTTTTAAAGCTCATTTACTTTTAAATAAAGCACCAGAAGGATGTCAAACACGTATATAGCTTTAGTGCAGAGCTGGAAATCTCCATCAGTGAAAGACTGCTGGGTGCATAAAGAAGCACTATTGCAGATCCTTCCTACCAACCTCTGTAAAGACTTATTAATCTTTGCTGATCTGATAAGTGTTTCCGATCACAGTATCTTTATTATCTTATCATTTTTCTCATGCTTAGCCTACTGTCTCTAATCTGCTACTTAAGTGTTTTTGGTAAATCTATGTCATTATCTGGACAGATTTGAACCATTTTCAGTATTTCTAAAATTCTGTTTATTTGTAGTTTTTCCAGCTTTCTGTAAACCAGCTGCTGATTATTAGTTTTCTATTTTTAACTCAGACATTTCTCATTTATACATTAGCATGTCATCCATTAATAGCAGCAAGTTTTTTTTGTTGTTGAGATTTTTTCCCCTCTTATGCTGTACAATTAATTTTTAAAGATGGTGGCCATGTTTTAATATATGCTTAAGTTTTATGTGTAACCTGTAAGCTTTTTTTCCCCCGGTGTTCTTGTTTTGCTACTGTAACACTTGAAGCTTCCCACAGTTGGACATTAAGAGGCATTTCTGTTCTGTTTGATTCTATCCTGACTTAATTGGACAAAATAAGCTGAAATCTTTGTCACTGAATCCTGCAAACTTTTATCAATAATCTTGGAGAATATTAGAAAGGTTTTATAAATTATTATTCAAGCAGAAAACAATATTCAATAACAACATGCATGAGAATAACTGTTCAATTTATCATTAACCAATAGGTTTTATAGAAGCAGAGTGTTTCTAAGATTTTAGATGCATGCCAATATACTCCGATATTCTTTTTATTCCTTTTTTGTGGCTGATTCACAAATTATTTCCAATATTAATATCTGATCAGGACATCTTTAAGATAATAGTGTTCTTTAAACTTTATTTTTACTTCTGAAAGAATAAAATAATAAAGGTCATACTTAATATGAGAGGAACAGATCCTTCCTATAAGGTCTCTTAAATGCTCAAGTTATAGAGATATTTACCTCTTCTGCTTTTCTGTAAAGCATAAAAAAGGAAACATATATGATGTAGTTTAGAGTTGAATATCAAAAAGACTCCACTATCATTGCAGCCATATTTAATTTTGCCTTGATGACGTACAATTTACTTTCAGTCACCCCATCAGAACCTTAAAAACCAATCTATTGACACAGGAAAATGCCTACAGTCCTCACAATTACCCACACATTGGTGTTACTTCAGAGTGCTTTGTTTGAGGTGCTGATGATGATCAACGGAAAAGGAAAAAATGAGACCGAAGAGTGACTGAGATGGTGGAGGTAGGCTAGCTGGCTGAAGAAATAGGTCACAACATGCCTCCTCTAATGAAGACATGATTCAGTTAAAATGACAGAGGGGGCGTTTAAATATAAACCGAGTTAATCATTTAGGAGTCTGTTTCCACAGTTTTGGTGAAAATTCTCTGTAATAAAACAATAATAACAGCCTTTCTAATGAACTGAATACAGTAAGTCAGCCCCTCGATTGCAAATATACACACATTTATCAATCTAGAATATTTTGTTAAGCTTTAGGAATAATGACAGCCTCTTCAAAGCCACACAAACAACTTTTACAGAAAATATTAACAATTACATTTCGATTATAGTATCCTTCCTTACATGGGGGAGTGTTGGCCTAATGGTTAGAGCAACACGCTTTACTCTGAGAAGGTTGCAAATACCCGGTCTGATCCCCACAGACCGCCACTCTGGGTCCCTGAGCAAGACCCTTAAACCTACACTGCTCCGCAGGTGCCACACGATGGCAGCCCACTGCTCCCCCAAGGGGAGGGGCTAAACACAGAGAGTTAATTTCTCCAATGTCAGATCAATAGTTCTATATTTCTATATTTATTTTTCCAATATATTTAAGGAAGAAGAAACATCTTAGCAAAAATTTCACTGGTTGTGTGGAAACAAAACAAGTCAATAGTTAGACTTAAATGTACGACGGAGTATTAGCACCAGGCTAGAGATTTGTTTTTTCTATTTCAAGAATAAAGTCGTAAAATTACTACAAAGTTGTAAAATTAAGAGAATAAAGTCATAACAAGAATAGTCATAAAATTATGAGAAGAAAGTCTGAACATCAAGAGAATAAAGTAATAAAATTATGATATTAAAGTCATAATATGAGAATAAAGTCGTAACATTGCGAGAATAAAGTCGTAAAATTACATGAATAAAGTTCTAACATTATGAGGATAAAGTAATAAAATTATAATATTAAAGTCATAATATTATGAGAATAAAGTCGTAACATTGCGAGAATAAAGTCGTAAAATTACATGAATAAAGTCGTAACATTATGAGAATAAATTAATAAAATTATGAGAATAAAGCCGTAACATTTCGTGAATAAAGTTCTAACATTATGAGGATAAAGTAATAAAATTATGAGAATAAAGTCGCAATATTACGAGAATAAAGTCTTAACATTGCGAGAATAAAGTCGTAAAATTAAGAGAATAAAGTTGCATTTTATGTCAACTCCTCCAAGAATCACTTTCTTCCCTAAAATGAGGAATGTGGAGCATCGTGTGAAGTTCTACTTTAGCATCGGTTTGACAAATCAGGAAATCTTTTAGCAGCAGCATCAAACTGTGCAGGATGTCAAAGTGGACTCTGGTTGCTGATTGGTGGAGCTGGTCGGCCATCATCTGTTGGGCGGAGCTCCAAGCTTTCTTTCTGAAACAGGTTGTGGTTTGATGACTTCATTCTCCTAATATTACAACTTTATTCTCTTAATGTTACCACTTTATTCACAAAATAAAAAAATCTTTAGCCTGGCCCTAATACTACGCCATACTAAATGAGACATCAGTCATATTTATTGTTAAAAATAATGTGTTTACAGCTCTGCCAGATGATCTCTAAATAAGGCCTGAAAACTGAAACCTGGAAATGTGCTTGATTACACAGCAGATTTTACCACTTCTGATCAGCTCTAAAGGTTTGAAGGAGCAAAAATGTCAAATAAAAGAAAACTTGAACATTTTAACATTAAGGAAATGCCATGACAGCCTTGTATTGAGCAAACATAAGGTTTACACAATACATTGCAAATCTATGATCGCAATATCATCCGGTGCAGAATCATCACTGCAATAAAATCAGGTAGTGAAAAAAAACCAAAAACATAAAAAACTGGTGGGCAGAACTAAGAGATAAATGTTACCCAGTGATTAATGCTTGGTTTGCGAATAACAACCAACCTGGTTTAAGGTAAACCTAAAAGCATTAGAAAACATTTTTAAGACACATAAAGAGGTTTGATAGTCACCAAAAAGCCTTTTCTAATATTAAGCAATCTATTTTATTTAAATAGACAGGGATTAGTGTTTTTTTAATAGTCTGTATTATGTTTTTTTTCTATTCATAATTCTGTATTTATTTTACATGGGTATATTGATATGTCTTTGATAATTTTGTTTTTATTTCTATGTGGTTCATTCATTACCATAAAAAACAAGCACATTTCAGACCTCTATGTGAAAGAATTTTAATGCTTATAATCTATAAGCAAATAGTGTTATGACTCCACTTGTTCTTATTAATAAATTCATGCAATATATATATAATTTTACTTCTTTAAACATCCAATTGTATAACAACTCATTTTTAATCTGCTACCATGTATTAAGCAATCTGTTTCTTTTAAATGGACGGAAAGGGTTTGAAACCCATAGTATGTATTATGTTTTTTCTAATTTCACAATTCTTTATTTATTTTACATGGGTATGTTGATATGTCTTTGATCATTTTATGTTTTGTTTTTTTCTATGTGGTTTCAGACCTCTATGTGAAAGAGTTTTAGTGCATATACGGTGTTATGCCTCCACTTGTTTTTATTAATAAATTCGTGCAATATATATTTTAACAATTCTATTTTATCTGCTACCATGACAACTGTAATAAACAATATCCTAGCTATGCTTTTGTACAAACAATTACCTCTGGGAGCTCCCAGCAAACCTGGTCTAACACAAGCTAAAGCTCCACCTTTTCCTTGCAACAGTCTCCACCATTGTGCTGTGCTTCAGTGAATAAAAGGAGCTGCATCCACCTTTGATCGGAAAACAAGTCAGTTTGTGTCCCCCAAAAAAACGAGCAAAAGCTGAAGTGCTTGTTTGTGCAGAGAGAGAAGGATGTGGTCAGGATGTCAAAGAGCTTCATCTGTGCTACCTGAAGCCCACAAAAAAAACAACTGTCGTCGTGACAACGGGTACATGAAGTCCCTGCATCTGTCATCTTTGCTTCTAGGATTTAAGGAGCATTTACTGTGAACGTCACTCAATAAAACAATAACCTAGGAAAATAATTAAGTGATTTAATAATTGGTGACGCGCTGTGAGTCTCTTCCTTTGTGTCAAATAAGCACATAAAAAAAAAAAACTGTCCCGTATCATCGTGAGATTGCACGCCAAATCGTTTCCGATGAAGTTAAAGTGTCGGATTAACATACCCGCTTTATTACGTGCCAAAAAGTTGGCTAATAATGGGATCAGTCTATTTGCTGGAAAGGTAGAAAACAACATTCCATTAAACCGCCTGTGTAGCCTACGTTACATCTGGTTACAACGACATTAGAATGTTCTCTAAAATCATTTATAGTTTGATTTATTAATCCCACAAAATAAATTTCATTAAAAAAAGTTGTTAAACTGTGAGCAGTATTTTTAAGTGGTAACGCAGTTATTTTGGCTAACAGTGGAGCTAACTACTTTCAGTTATGCTAGCAGAAGCTACCGCAGCGCAGGTTTTAGTAGCACTATCTGTATTTAAAAAAAGTGAATTAAACACTTTTACGGAATTATCTGCTTAAATCACAGTGTATATTTTAATTAAACACCGTTCTGGTTAGAAAACAAACAATATCGAGCAGTTAGCGCTTAGCTGCGCTTGTAAACACGGGCTGGTTGGATGGTTTCAGATGTTAGTCGCTAGCTTGTAACGCAGAGCTGGCCTCAAACTCACCGTGATGTTGCAGTGGATGATCAGCAGCTTTTCTCTCGTTACATTGAACTGGCAGCTTAGCTCATCGGGTTTCCAGTCTATGATTCGGAACCGCTCGTGATTTGGGTCAAAAATCGACTCCAGAAACTTCAACTCGGCCTTTAGCCCCGAAACCGACATCTTCTGTTCATCTCAAAGCAGCAGGCCGCTGGCGGAGGGGAAGTCAGGGCGGAATGAGAGCGCGCGGGCGGCGGACGCAGCTCCGCGGATCTCGCATGTTAGCGTGAGAACAACAACAAAGAGCCGCCAGGAGACCAAAACCATCAATAAGATGCGCATTTTTACAGCATAACAAGTCAGACCTTAAGCTTTGCTCATCATTTTTGGTCATTAATAAAAAAAAGTCCGTTAAAATATATAATTTTACGGAAGAGGATTAGGGCCAATGAAAAAAAAAAAGAAGTTAACTGATTTTTACATTTTACTTCAGTATAATATGAGAAAAAAGTCAGAATTCTGCCTTTAATCTCAGAAATCTGGCGTTAATCTCTGAATTCTGAATTTAATCTCAGAATTCCGACTTTTTTCCTCATAATTCTGACTTTAATTTCCGAATTCTGACTTTAATCTAAGAATTCTGACTTTTTTCAGAATTCTGACTTTAATCTAAGAAATCTGACTTTTTTTCTCAGAATTCTGACTTTAATCTCAGAAATCTGACTTCTTTTTTTTTCCAGAATTCTGATTTTAATCTCAGAAATCTGAGTTTGATCTCAGAATTCTGACCTTTCTTAGAATTCTGACTTTTTTTTTCTTAATTCTGACTTTAATCTCAGAAATCTGACTTTGATCTCAGAATTCTGACTTTTCTTCAGAATTCTGCCTTTTTTGTCATAATTCTGACTTTAATTTCCGAATTCTGACTTTTTTTCTCAGAATTCTGACAAATTTCTCAGAATTCTGACTTTAATTTCAGAATTCTGATTTAATTCTTACAGATAACAAACATGTTAGCATCAAGCCGTAGCCATGTCTATTTTAGAGACTAGCTCTCTTGTTTTAATCACCTTCTGCTCCTCCATTAATGAAATAGCATCACCAGGGACCCTCAGGGACATAAAAAGTCGCCTAATTCCATCATTTTCCACCAATGCGTTCCTGTTCCTCCCAAAGAGCTCACATCTTTCTCACTTAAACTAAATGCTGCCACATCTCTTCCTTCATGGTGCCCATCTACATTAAGATCCAGAATTATGAGATTAAAGTCAGAATTCTGAGATAAAAGTCAGAATTTTGACTTTCTTCCCATATTAAACTGAAATAATATATAAAAATCAGTTAACTTTTNTTTAATCTCAGAATTTTGACTTTTTTCAGAATTCTGACTTTAATCTCAGAATTCTGACCTTTCTTAGAATTCTGACTTTTTTAAATTCTGACTTTAATCAAAGAAATCTGACTTTTCTTCAGAATTCTGACTTTAATTTAAGAAATCTTACTTTTTTTCTCAGAATTTTGACTTTAATCTCAGAAATCTGACTTCTTTTTTTTTTCCAGAATTCTGATTTTAATCTCAGAAATCTGAATTTAATCTCAGAATTCCGACTTTTTTCTTATAATTCTGACTTTAATTTCCGAATTCTGACTTCAATCTCAGAATTCTGACTTTAATTTTAGAATTTTAACTTTTTGCTCAGAACTCTGATTTAATTCTGACAGCTAACAAACATGTTAGCATCAAGCCATAGCCATAGCCATGTCTGTTTTAGAGACTAAACAAGATCTCTTGTTTTAATCACCTTCTGCTCTTCCATTAATGAAATAGCATCACCAGGGACCCTCAGGGACATAAAAAGTCGCCTAATTCCATCATTTTCCACCAATGTGTTACTGTTCCTCCCAAATAACTCACATCTTTCTCACTTAAACTAATTGCTGCCACATCTCTTCCTTCATGGTGCCCATCTACATTAAGATCCAGAATTATGAGATTAAAGTCAGAATTCTGAGAAAAATGTCAGAATTATGACTTTCTTCCCATATTAAACTGAAATAATATATAAAAATCAGTTAACTTTTTTTCATTTTTTCAGTGGCCCTAATCCTCTTCCGTATTATTTGAACATTTTAATGAATGTAAACAAATTAATAAATAAAATCCTAAAAATGGATAAAAAAACTGTGGGGTGTCATTACGTCACTGGTGAATAAATTACAGAATTTAATCTTATTTCTCCACAATTACTTTTTGTATTAAATCAGCTGAAAAGGTAGATTTATCCTTTAATCAGGTACATTTATGTAATTACAGCAAAACTACCATCTTCAATTAAACTAAATGTTCATGTTTGAAGATTATTAGAAAAAAAGGAAATTAATGAATCAATTAAACTGTAGATGTCAGTACAGATTAGCCTACTTTACAAAAATATGAACAAGACTGTGAATCCATCCATCCATCCATCCATCCATCCATCCATCCATCCATCCATCCATCCATCCATCCATCATCACATCCATCATCCATCCATCCATCCATCCATCCATCCATCCATCCATCCATCCATCCATCCATCCATCCATCCATCCATCATCTTATTGAATCCCCTTTCCTT